TGAAGCATACTGGTCCGGAGTTTTTATTATAACAATCTAATTCTACCATGCACAAAAAATATTAATTTGTTTTTAGTGACTATTAAAATATTCAATGTAGCACATATTAAAGAAAATTAGTTATTTTCAATCATTCATCGATAAAAAGACAATAAAAAGAAATATGTGGCAAATATACTATATGTATATTGAAAGTTGCATAAGAAATCAAATATTGTATATGGCATGAGTTAATATTTTATGTACTTAGGATCTCAAAAAAATTCTCCATTCTTAATACTCGTATATGAACACTCTTTATGTAATCGATTGCTAAACAGTTTGTATGTGATAAGATAATTAATTATTCAATATAAATTCGCAATGCAACTGTTTTGTCGTGGTTGTTGTATTTTATAACAGCAGAAAAAACATCCATTAAAGAATATATAATATCATTTCATTTTGAAAATGTACATCATATAAATGTAATAAAATTGTATCAATTTTTTCAAACTTCCTCGTATGTGTTATTTTACTTTACCAATAAATGAATAAAAATATATTTCTTTACTGTTCTTATGTATAAACTTTGCTGCACGTATTTTATCCGTTTAAAAAAATAATTCTTATATTATTTTGTGTAGCTAAACAATTAAATTAGTTTTTTATTCTATTAATACTATAATTAATATAAGTGTGAAGTAGTTCATTGATATAATAACTTTATACACATTTATATAATAAACAAATAATTGTATTCACCAGATAGAATATTGCAGTTTGCATCATCAAATACAAATTTCGCTTTAATTTCACCTCAGCTTCATTCAAGAATTAATGATAATGATAGTGTATTTAATAATAATGTATTTAATGATAGTGTATTTTTTTTTTTATGATAATGTTATTTATCCGTAATCTTCACAAATCATCTGAAAAAAAGAAACGCACGATAAATAAGTTTTTCTATAAGTTCATTTTCTTCCATAACATCATGTGCATCAATAATTCATTCATGATGAAAAACGGGGATACAATCAAGTGCTATTTGCATGTGTACATTTCATAATAAATTCTTAAAATATTTTTCATGAATGTTTTAGATTTTTTCTTATATTCGTTAAAATATTTGCAATAATATTTTTATACAAACAATATTAAATATGTATATAAAAATATATATAAATATAATTTTGAGTTTATAGATTTCTTAAGAAGAAGCTGCAAAGTTTCTCTTTTTATCTTTTTTCTGCAAATAAATATTCTAATACAACAAATCGGTTATGATAATACCGGATAATCAAATAATGATTAATCTTTGATGATTATTCATGACAACGTGATAATAACAAGCAATTTATTTTGTAAGCATACTTTGTAAGCATACTATACTTTAAGTATAATTTACTAGTATACTTCATAAGTATACTATACTAATGACATAAGATTTTGAGGAAAGCATGCATCTCGGAACTTAAGCTTAATCAAGAATACTCATTAGCTTTCACAATAAAGACACTAACAGTGGAAATAATTTAAAAAGACAGATTCTCGATCAGAAATGATATGCTAGTACGAATTCTTTGTTAAGATTTCTTGGAAAAATTCTTACTAACATTTTACTACTAATCGAGAACCTGTTTTATGAACGTATATTTTTAACATTTTTACATCCTGTTTGTCTAGCATTCAGATTCTGATAAGCATTTGCGCATCTACTACAGTAGCTTTATCTTTTGCTCTTCAAATCACTATAAAGTGAAGGCACCATTTATAAAGTTATTTTAATAGTTAGTATTTTTACAGTGTATTTGACTAAGAAGAAAAAACTAAGTGATTTTAGTGAAATTTGATGCGTCCAAGGTTTAGCGATGTATCGACCAAGTTTTGCATTTTGGTACTGCGTGTTTCTGTTTGTCATTCTATCCTCGGGAAAGAACGAAGAGTATTGGGAAAATTTCACAAGTGGCGATGCACAAAGTGACAATTCAACGATGCTATACAAACTTAACGCAAATTCTATGAAAAATCAAGATAATGAGACAGATTTAATGCGTTATAATTCGCGAGAAAATTCTGTGAAATATAAAAGTGAAACAAACTCTATGTTGCATGGACTTAATGAACATTCCAATGAAGATAACAATGATAATATCGTTCTGTATAAAATGTGTAATAATACTTGCATACAGCATTGCTGTAATTTGATAATTGACAATTGCTATTTCGTGAAGTTACAAGAGTTTCCGGATAATTCTAATTTTACGTGGGAAGCCGAATTTGCCTATTCATGCGAAGAAAGGGAGCTTCCGTTTGATATTATGGATAATGAGAATACAATGTTTTTTGACAACAGCTTTCTGAACTTATCACGTCACGATATATTAATTTCGTTGTTATCTAAGTGCGCTAATATTTTATTGCACTCTAACTCAACTAACTGCTTCGCCATTATGGAGCAAAACCTATCGATATATATGGACATTAGCAGTGCAGTTTTCATAGCATCTTTGCTGTGTCTTCTGATGACATTCATCGTGTATTCCATATGTCCAGAACTTCAAAATATACACGGATATACTTTGCGTTCATATGTAGCATCATTGTTCGTCGTATTTACGATCATCCTAATCGCCAATAGAAATCTGTTTGCACAGACGTATTCTGTCTGTGTTGCAGCAAGTATGGTTTGCGCAACAATGTAGCAATAACTTTTTTATAGTATAAACATATAAATAAACGCTGGCGCGTCTGTTATTCTACGTAACTGACTGCACTATTTTATTATATTTAATAATTTAACAATATCAAAATAATAAAAACTTTAAAAATGCATTGAGAAATAATGAATATATAATAAAAAATATTAGCGCTTTAATGCATGTTAACATTATTAATTTGACTGTTTCAGGTTTACTATTATATTTCTGTTATTTTACGAGCTTATTGTGGCAAAATGCGATATGCTTCGACATTTTACGGACATTTGGGTAAGTATCCAAACCCTTAGCCCAAACTTTTATTCAGTTCCATTGGAGAGAGCAAAAACAATATTAATATTCATATAATCCATATAACATTAATATTATTTTGTTCTTAAATAATTTGAAATTAATAATTGAATAATAGAACTACTGAAGAAAATACGTAAAACAGTAAAAAATAATCCTTTTCCATTTTTCAATTGGAGTAATTTATTTTTGAATTAGTATACAATATTTTGGAATGGAAAATATGAAAGTAATCATTTTGATATTAATTAATTACTTATATTAGATGTATATTTATACAACTATGAATATGTTTGGCAATAATTACAAATTAATTACACTATTTCATTGGCTGTATACCACGTCCAAAGTAAAGACTAACACGAGTGACACTATTATGTTGCAGAGGAATTCGTTTCTTACGTAACAGCGTAAAACAATCAAAGAGAAAAATTTTCCTCACGTATTCGTTCTGTGTGTGGGGAGTCGCCAGCATTTATGTCATTATTTGTGCTATAATGAATTTTGTTCCCACTGTGCCTGATAATATGCAACCAAATATCTGCATCGATTCAACACTCGGATTCTGTAATAGTCATATTTTACTTTCTATTGCTGCTAATACTTCATTGAAATCCATAACACGATCGTGAGAATAGCAACAATACAATTGTATATATGATATTATGTTAATATTTTCTTTGGTAAAATAAACCTCATAAAGATCGCAAAAAAAAATTGAATAAACATCATATGTGTGTAATATTTGATAAATGATTAGTTATTATTATTTCTTGGAAAATAAAAAAATTAATCAAAAATCCACAGAAAAAATTTTTCTTAGACTTGTTCTTTTTCCTACGTAATTTTATAATAAATGACTCACAATCGTTATATTATAATTCTTAATTAATTTTAAACTTTTAACTAATGTTTATGTGTGCATATCCTATAAAAAATAATGTAAGAACTTCATTTTTTATTTCAGCGGAAGATATGGAAATTGTATACTTTGAAATACCCATAAGTGTTCTTATCATCTGCAACATATGTTTCTTGATTTTTACGATGTTAAACATCGTATACGCAACAAAAAATATTGACTGCTCTCTAAAAGATGCAAAGACCAATCACCAAACTAAGCAAAGGTATCTTTTTTCAAACTTTTTAAGAAAACTTATATAATTATGATCCAAATTTTCAAGAATTAAAATTGATCTCCGTTATTTCTTTCCATTATCTTAATTAAATGATTATCTTAGTTATAAATGCTGTTGAAATCTATATAGATTACAAGATTACAAGATTTTCTAATTTTTATTTTTGCTTAATATTAATTACTTTGAATGCTCGTTTATAATAAATTAAATTATCTGTTTTGTATCTTTTTCATATTCTTAGAAAGCACTATTTTATCTAGAGTAATAAGCACTCAAAGCAAGTATAACTACAAGACATGTAGAAATAAATATGTTTGCAGATCTATGACGTATCTGAAGCTATTGCTGTTGGCGGATATAAACTTGGGCCTACTAAGAATATTTAGATGGACTAGCGATATAATAATTGTAAGCTTTAATATTTGGGAATTTATACCAAATTATGTTCTCCTTATCTTAGAGACGATAGAATGCGTGCAAAGCTTCATCATTTTCATCATATTTGTTTGCAAGAAAAGAATTTGGCAATTACTGTTGAAACGATTCGGTTGTGAAAAGTTATTCGTAAAACGGGAAAACATCAACAAGTAACAATTGCCGTACCGCAGCTTTACAAACTTCTTTTACAACAGTAACAGAGATCCACGCAAGAAGTCAATATGCAGACTAATTGTCATGTGATTTGTCTCAAATAGTCAACACTACAATTAAAACCGTTGCAAGAAAAAATATATTTTTTATTATTTTTTAATATTTCTTAAATTATTTTTAAGAATTTTAAATACTAGATATTATTTGTAACTTTTATCATAATTTTTCATAAAACTGAATAATAAAATTCCAAGATACGTATGATCAATGCATATCAATTTGCGCGAAATATTTCATTGTTGGTTTTTCTATACATGTAATAATAATATGATAACAATAAAAACATGAAGATGTACCTATATTTATCAAAAAATGCAAGTAGACTTATTGCGAGATGTGAAATATCTTCCATCTCTACTATTTATTATAATTATATATATATATATATATATACACAAATCTCTTTTGATAATATATTAACATTCACTGCAATATAAAATTTTAATGATTTGTTTAGTATAGTTACACTAAAAATAAATTCTCAATTTTTGTAATTTTTTTCAAATTTTAATTGCCTTTCATAGAAATAAACAATTATATATATATATATATATATATTTAGATGACTAAGTTAGACAAATTAATATTTAAATAATTCTTTTAACCACTTTGGATGCAAAACTCCACAGTAAATATTGCGAGATTGTTTTTCTAACATAATGATAGTTACTTGTTCAGTATCGTAATCACACGTTCGTATGGATGCGTGTTTGCACAGCGCGTTTTCTTATCGTTTGTTTAAATAAAATGTGAAATAAAACAGTGCTAGCCAAAAGTTAATATAATAATTAGTGATGGTAATGTTATTTATCCGTAATCTTCACAAATCGCCCGAAAAGAAGAAATGCACGATAAATAAGTTTTTTTATAAGTTCATTCTCTTCCATAACATCATGTGCATCAATAATTTATGATGAAAAACGGGGATACAATCAAGTGCTATCTGCATGTGTACATTTCATAATAAATTCTTAAAATATTTTTCATGAATGTTTTAGATTTCTTATATTCGTTAAAATATTTGCAATAATATTTCAATATAAACAATAATATTTCAATATAAACAATTTCAAATATATAAAAATATACAGGGTGGGCCATTTTAATTCATCCACGCAAATATCGCCGTAAGTAAGCCAAATACAGAAAAATGATTCAGACAAAAGTTGTTCAAGACAATGGGGGTCACCTATTTGTGCTAGTGACTTTGACCTTGAAATCAATTTTCAAGGTCATTTGAAGGTCAGAGTTATTTTTTTAAATAGAAATCCCTATTTTTGATTCCAAAATCTAATAGCTGATGTCAAGAGCTTTTCAAAACACTATAATGAAGTTATTTTTCATTAAGTACTTTTCGAGTTATGAGGCTTGTAAATTACAGTATTTTGACATAAAATACAAAATATCTTGTAAAACATTTAATTTTTGGGAATCTTACCTTAATACTTTTATGCATAAAATAATGAGACAAATCAATTGGTATAAAGAAAACACATAGTTGCTTTCAAGAAAAAATATGTAATTTGCAACATGCAACTGCATACTGTTTTTTAAAACCAATGTGTTTTCTTTATACCATTTGATTCGTCTCATTATTTTATGCATAAAAATATTAAGGTAAGATTCCCAAAAATTGAATGTTTTACAAGATATTTTGTATTTTATGTCAAAATACTGTAATTTACAAGCCTCATAACTCGAAAAGTACTTAATAAAAAATAACTTCATCATAGTGTTTTGAAAAGCTCTTGACACCAGCTATTAGATTTTAGAATCAAAAATAGGGGTTTCCATTTAAAAAAATAACTCTGACCTTTAAATGACCTTGAAAATTGATTTCAAGGTCAAAGTCACTAGCACAAATAAGTGACCCCCATTGTCCTGAACAACTTTTGTTTGAACCATTTTTCTGTATTCGACTTACTTACGGAGATATTTGCGTGGATGGATTAAAATAGCCCATCCTGTATATAAATATAATTTTGGGTTTATAGATTTCTTTAATCAGACTTCTTGAACATAAATCATTCAAGTTATAACTGAATCAACCGTAACACAGAATGCAAGAACCAATTAAATGATACGCAATCTAAGAAGCTGCAAAGTTTCTCTTTCTATCTTTTTTCTACATATAAACATTCTAATACAACAAACCGGTTATGATAATACCGGATAATCAAATAATGATTAATCTTCGATGAATATTCATGACACCGTGATAATAACGAACAATTTATTTTTAATACAGTATACTTAAATACAGTATACTGGAATAAGATTTTGAGGAAAGCATGCATCCCCGAACTTAAGCTTAATCAAGAATACTCATTAACTTTCATAATAAAAACACTAACAGTGGAAATAATTTAAAAAGACAGATTCTCGATCAGAAATGAAATGCTGGTAAAAAGTCTTTGCTAAGATTTCTTGTAAGAATTCTTACTAACATTTTACTACTGATCGAGAACCTGTTTCGTGAACGTATATTTTCAACATTTTTACATCCCATTTGTCTAGCATTCAGATTCTGAGGAGCATTCGCGCATCTACTAAAGTAGCTTTATTTTTCGCTCTTCAAATCGCCACAAATTAAAAGCATCACTCATAAAATTATTTTCACAGTTAGTATTTTTACAGTTATTTGACTAAGAAGAAAAAACTAAGTGATTTTAGTGAATTCGACCCAAGGTTTAGCGATGTATCGACCAAGTTTTGCATTTTGGTACTGCGTGTTTCTGTCTGTCATTCTATCCTCGGGAAAGAACGAAGAGTATTGGGAAAATTTTACAAGTGGCGATGCACAAAGTGACAATTCAACGATGCTATACAAACTTAACGCAAATTCTATGAAAAATCAAGATAATGAGACAGATTTAATGCGTTATAATTCGCGAGAAAATTCTGTGAAATATAAAAGTGAAACGAACTCTATGTTGCATGGACTTAATGAACATTCCAATGAAGATAACAATGATAATATCGTTCTGTATAAAATGTGTAATAATACTTGCATACAGCATTGCTGTAATTTGATAATTGACAATTGCTATTACGTGAAGTTACAAGATTTTAAGAACAACAATCCTAATTTTACGTGGGAAGCCGCAATTGCCAATTTATGCGAAGAAAGGGAGATTCCGTTTGATATTATGGATAATGAGAATACGATGTTTTTTGACAACAACTCTCTGAACTTATCGCGTCACGATATATTAACTTTGTTGTTATCTAAGTGCATTCATATTTTATCTTACTCTGACTCAACTACCTGCGACGCCATTTTGGATCAAAAGCTATCGATATATTTGGACATTAGAACTGCAGTTAACATAGCATCTTTGCTGTGTCTTCTGATGATATTCATCGTGTATTCCATATGTCCAGAACTTCAAATATGCATGGATATACTTTGCGTTCATATGTAGCATCATTGTTCGTCGTATTTATGATCATCCTAATCGCCAATAAGGAATTGTTTGCACAGACGTATCCCGTCTGCGTTGCAGCAAGTATGGTTTACGCAACAATGTAGCAATTATTTTGTTATAGTATAAACATATAAATAAACGCTGGCGCGTCTGTTATTTTACGTAACTGACTGCACTATTTTACTATATCTAATAATTTAACAATATCAAAATAATAAAAACTTTAAAAATGCATTGATAAATAATGAATATATAATAAAAAATATTAGCGCTTTAATGCATGCTAACACTATTAATTTGACTGTTTCAGGTTTACTACTTTATTTCTGGTATCTTGCGAGCTTGTTGTGGCAAAGTGCGATATGCTTCGACATTTTACGGACATTTGGGTAAGTATTCAAACCCTTAGCCCAAACTTTTATTCAATTCCATCGGAGAGAGCAAGAATAAAACACATTAATATTCATATAAGAGAAATCCATATAATATTAATATCATTTTGTTCTTAAATAGTTTGAAATTAGTAATCGAATAATAGAACTACTGAAGAAAATACATAAATTAATAAAAAATGATCCTCTTCCATTTTTTAATTGGAGTAATTTACTTTCGAATTAATATACTTTGGAATTGTATGAAAGTATTTATTTTGATATAAATTAATTACTGGTATTAGATATATATTTATACAACTATGAAATTTGGCAATAATTACAAATTAATTGTACTATTTCATTGTCTGTATATCATGTCCAAAGTAAAGACTAACACGAGTGACACTATTATGTTGCAGAGGAGTTCGTTTCTTACGTAACAGCGTAAAACAATCAAAGAGAAAAATTTTTCTCACGTATTCGTTTTGTGTGTGGGGAATCGCCAGCATTTACGTCATTATTTGTGCTATAATGAATTTTGTTCCCACTGTGCCTGATAATATGCAACCAAATATCTGCATCGGTTCGAAATTTGGATTCCGTAATAATCATATTTTACTTTTTATTACTGCAAATGCTTCATTGAAATCCATCATACGATCGTGAGAATAGCAACAATATAGTTCTTTATATTATGTTAACATTTGCCATGGTAAAATAAACTTCATAAAAATTGCAAAAAAATTAAATAAACATCATATGTGCGTAATATTTGATGAATGACAAGTTATTATTATTTGTTAGAAAATATAGTTTTAAAAAAATTACCCAAAAATCCACTCAAAAAATTTTTCTTAGACTTGTTCTTTTCTCTACGTAATTTTATAATAAATGACTCACAATCGTTATATTATAATCCTTAATTAAATTTTAAATTTTTGACTAATGTTATGTGCACATCCTATAAAAAAATAATATAAGAATTTTATTTTTTATTTCAGCGAAAGGTATGGAAATTGTCATATACTTTCACATACCCACAAGTGTTCTTATTATTTGCAACATATGTTTCTTGATTTTTACGATGTCAAATATCGTATACGCAACAAAAAATATTGACTGCTCTCTAAAAGATGCAGAGACCAATCACCAAACTAAGCAAAGGTATCTTTTTTTAACTTTTTAAGAGAACTTATAAAATTAGAATCCAAATTTCGAAGAATTAAAATTGATCTCCGTTATTTCTTTACATTATTTTAATTAAATGATTAATTTAGTTATAAATGCTGTTGAAATCTATATAGATTACAAGATTACAAGATTTTCTAATTTTTATTTTTGCTTAATATTAATTACTTTGAATGCTCGTTTATAATAAAATGAATTCTCTGTTTTGTATCTTTTTTATATTCTTAGAAAGCACTATTTTATCTAGAGTAATAAGCACTCAAAGTAATTATAACTACAAGACATGTAGAAATAAATATGTTTGCAGATCTATGACGTATCTGAAGCTATTGCTGTTGGCGGATATAAACTTGGGCCTACTAAGAATATTTAGATGCACTAACGATATAATAATTGTAAGCTTGGAGGTTGCGGAATTTGTACCAAATTGTGTTCTACTTATCACAGAGACGGTAGAATTCCTGCAAAGCTTCATCATTTTCATCATATTCGTTTGCAAGAAAAGAATTTGGCAATTACTGCTGAAACGATTCGGTTGTGAAAAGTTATTCGTAAAACGGGAAAGCGTCAACAAGTAACAATTGCCGTACCGCAATTTTGCAAACTTTTTCTACAACAGTGACAGAGATCCACACAAGAAGTCAACATGCAGGCTTATTACCATGTGAGGAATTTGTCTCAAATAGTCAAATAGTCATCGACACTACAATTAAAACCGTTCCAAGAAAAAATATATTTTATAATTTAATTAATTTAATTAAAATATATTTTTTTACAAATTGAGAATATTTCTAACATTATAATAATAATAATAGAATTGCAGCAAAACAAGATAAAATATAGTAATATTTTTAAAATTATTGCTTTTTTTAAAAAAAATGCTATTCTTAAAAGAAAAAATGTTTAAAATGCTATTCTTGGGGTTTTAAGATATCAAAAAAAGAAACTATTCAATAAAGTAATAAAATTATAAAATGTGTTTAAAAGTCAAATTTTTCAAGGCTTAACGAAAAGCATTGCTCTGTGAAACTCTTATAAATGCGAGTCAATTACATCAATTGTTATAAATTCTATTTATATCTCTTTTGCATCGAACTATAGATTTCGTACTTTGATAATTAGGTCTTTAAATTTATTAACTCTCGAACGGCGAAAGTGGGGTATTTGATACACTCCATCTTCGCCGTCCTTGTAAAATCTCAGATCTTCGCCGTTCGAAGGTTAATAAAATTTAATAAAAACAATATTCATGTATGTTAAAATTTTATTTTAAACACGATATTCTTAAAATTTAACACCTTTAAAATTAAAAAATTCTTGTAAATGTAATTTTTTTGTAATTTATAGCTTTATAAACATTTTTTATATATTTACTTATATATGTTTCTAAAATTTTGTATTTTTAAACGTTTTAGTTTAAAAGTAATCTGAATTTCATATGTGACTTACGCAAAACTTAAAAGTGACCAAAGTCACTTATATGTCACTTACATATAAGTGATGAAAAACTAAAAGAATAAATCAAGAAATGTTAATAGATAAACGAGAATGTAATTGTCAAAGTACGCTTTGTAGAATTTAATAGAATTGATGAATAAAGTAATGACAGTAAATAGCAGATAGGTTTCATATAATCATGCATACTTATAAGGAATGAAATCACTCACCGGTCGTTGTATCCTAGCGGAGCCGCCCTCAAAGCTGCACCTGAAAAAATTAATAAATATATTAGTTATCATAAATTATTACATTTATCTATATTAGTATTATTCAATTCTTTTTATTTTGATTAAAACATAACTACATGCAATAACGTAAATAGTAGTTTAATAATTTTTCTAAATATACAATAAACTCAATCTTGAGATTCAAATTGTTTGAATTACTCGACCATTAAATTTTCCGAGCATTGCAAGTAATAAATAAATAGTAAATTGTTCACCTGAAAGTTGCTCCGCTGATGCCCGATGTCTCCCGCGGCTTCTTTTCTTCATATGCGTGAAGTTAGCCCCCAATATTAAAAAATAATTTAGTTATTTTACATGATTTAATTGCACATGATTGCATTTTTTTTATTTTTATTTGCACACCTCTAATAAAAAAGTTATTAAAAAAAAAATTTGGAGGGGCCAATTTTACATTAGCCCCTCAATTTTTACAAAAATGATTTTCAATCAACCTAATCGATAGATTTTCGTGTGCACATTTACATACAGTTTGAATTTTTGTTTGCACACCTCTGGAAAAAGTTATTTAAAAAAAACTTTCGGGGGCTAACTTCACATTCAAAAATTATGTGACGCATTTTATGTGGCACTAACTGATATTAATTCGCAACGCGAACTTTGTCAACCGCGAAAATGGCTCAACATGATTTAAGTGCGGTATTTTTTTTATTAGATATAGCACATTGAAATAGATTTTAGATGTCGGAATAGAATTAGATAAAACGTAGCTGTTAGTTATGCTTAATGACTTTCGCTCGACCGCCAAGACAATCGTCATCAATTATCGTTCATCTCGCTCATTCTGAGTGTGTGTGTAGTGTCAAAATAGTGCCAAATAAATCGCGACAAGTAAAATATTATAATAATCGGGATAAATATGTGCATAGACACATTGTGATGCAAAACGCGTTTCATGCACCGCGATATAGTAAATTTGTGATATAAATTCGCGATTTTTGTATAAATAAAATGTGAGAGTTGATAGTGTTCGATTGTGCGGGTTTTGTTCGATAGTGCGGGTAATTGTAATAAATGTGTGTTTCAAATGTCCATTGATTCTGCGCAGAAGTACTATGTAAAGAGTTTAAAACGGAATTTAGAAACGAGTGTGGAGAGAATACTACAATATTCTAATTGGTAAATATAACTTTTTGTCTATTTTTAAATACATAATTATTTTAATATATAATTTTGGAATAACTCATATACACAATTATAATTTGTATTTATTAAATATTTATTGAAGTTCTTAAACAATTATTCACACAAATTTTTCTTCATATAATTATGTTTTTATAATAACTAATAATATATCTTAAATATATAACGCGTATAACTGTTAAAATATAATAAAATATATATATAAATATTACTTTTGCAGAGATGCAGTTTGATTTTTGTGGAATAAATTCAGATCAATCTAAAGTAGAATCTGCAATGAGTGGACTGCAGGGAGCAGACTGCAATATTCTAGCTGATAAGTATATAATATGATAATATACATATACTATCTACAAAATTTGTATTA